GTGAAAAAAAACTAATGAACACATGAGCAACCCCTCTCCCCCACCAAACAAACAAACAAATAAAAATGCCGGGTGTAGTGGTGCTGTCTGTAATACAAGCAGCTGAGAGGCTCACACAGGAAGACTTCCGTGAGTTAGAGGCCATCTGTGCTGTACAGTGAGTTCAAGCCCAGCCTAGAATGGGCATTAATATAATACACAGTGACCCGTCTCAACAAACACAGCAAGCCTGTGGCCTTAGAGCAGGAGGAACCTCTGCCTCACAGACTAGGCCACACCCACCATGGCTTCTCTCCCCGTCTGGAAGAGGAGTCAGTGCTCTTAACCACTGAGCCATCTCTCCATTTTTTAAATAAATAAACTTATGAAAGAAACAGGAACAAGACAGTTAATTGTGAGTGGGAAAATGAAAGAAGGAAGGGTATGATGAGCAAGAATGAAAACATTTGGGATATGAGAGAGAGTGTAGGTGTAGGAGAAGGAGTCTGTGCAGCAGATGGCCAAGGTGCAGCCAGCAGCAGCCTGGGGGTCTCCAGGGTGGAGAAGGCTGGGAACAAGGCTCTGTGAGGTGTGGGTGGTGGCTGCCCCTTCTTGAATCCATTGTCTCTGCATGATAATCTTGTTGCATTTACTTCAGGCTTTTCTCCATCCAGCAGGGTGGATTTGCTCTTCAAAAATGTCCCTCTGAGCCAGGCAGTGGTGGTGCATATCTTTAATCCAGGCACTTGGGAGGCAGAGGCAGGTGGATCTCTGCGAGTTCGAGGTCAGCCTAGTCTACAAAGTGAGTTCCAGGATAGCCAGGACTGTTACACAGAGAAACCTTGTCTTGGAGAAAAAAAAAAATGTCCCTCTGGGGACTGGGAGAGATGGCTCACAGTTATTAAGAGCACTTGCTGCCCTTGTGTGGGGGTCTCCTAGGTTTCAAGGACCTTGGTGCTCCCAACATTCTTGCAGAAGACCTGAGTTTTGGTGCCAGCACTCACATGGTGGCTCGTAATTGTCTGGTAACTCCAGCTCAAGGGGATCTAATGCCCTCTGATGGCTCCACAGAGACTGCACACACAGGGGTGCTTACCAGACAAGCAGGCACACACATGTATACATATAAAATAGTTAAAAAAAAAAGAAAAAGTAATGGCCCTAAGGGTTTCTTTTCCTTCCTTCCTTCTCTCCCTTCCTCCTTTCTATTCCCCCTCTGGAGAGGTTTTTCTTTCTTTAGTCTTCAACCCCCATCTCTCTGTTTCTCCTGTTCTCAGAATCCAGCACTCCTGATTGCCTTCAACAAACCATCATGCAGGGCAAACAGTAATTTATCCATGAATGCTTGCCAGCCAACTGATGAAAGAGAATGAGTCCCATGGAGAAAAGCTGCAGGGCAGAAAAGGATGGACATGCACAGAGGGAAGGAATACCAAAGGTGAACAGCCTGTCTAGGCCACTTATTAGTGCCTTCAAGACCGCTAGGAGAGATGGCATGGTGGCACTGTGCACACACGTCTTTATGGCTAGCGGATGATACAATACACTTGATGATTGACAGCTCATGTCTCATAGCTAATAGTGTCTACCACAGCCTCTGACAAGAACTGCTCCTCAAAAGGAGTCACCAGAAGAGCAGATGCATCAAACCATAGGAGCACTTCCCTGGCAGCACTTCAGTGGCCCCAGGTCCAGTGGACATCTTGTGTGATGATAAGTTGGTCAGTATCCTTGTATTCCAAGGCTGCATGATTTTACCTGTATGTGGAATCTGAAGAAGTTTATCTTGACAGAAGTCGACAGGAGACTATATTGACAGAGGCTGGAGGATTGAGGGAAAGGCAGGGATGGGTAAGGGCTGATAGCAGGTGCTGTCATGGGGGGATAGGTAAGTGAGAACTGACACACTGTTGCACAAAGATGGGGCTGTAGATAGCCTCAGTGTGGTCTTACTTCAGAAAGGCTAGATTTTAATATTTGTTTCTTTTTTTTCATATATGTGGGTTTTCTTTCCATTTTCAAGTGCAGTTTTTGTGCATATTTCCTTTGTGTGTGGGTACTCAGGTATGTGCAGGTGAGCATGCATGTGTGTGCACATGTATATGAAATCCCAAGGCTGATGTGGGGAACCATTTTCTGTAGCTCTTCCACCTTATTTATCGAGGTAAGGTCTCTCAGTCAAACCTGTAACTCTTGGATATGGTTAGTCATGGTAGCCAGCTTGCTCTGGGAATCCCCTGTCTACATTTCAAGACTGGAATTACAGGCAGGCTGGGACATTCACTCAACATCTACATGATATGGTGGTTTGAATAAAATGACCCCCATAGTCTCCATACCAGACTCTGTCTCTCCCCAAAACGTGATGCTCTCAGAGGCAAAGGTTGCTGGTCACTGCTGTTTCACAACAGGCTCTGCTCTACCCTCAGCCTGGCTGTTAGCACAGCTTAGCACTGCAATGACTCAGCTTAGACTCTTAGCCATTTCCTTCCCCTTCATGTCTGGTCATCCCAGGCCCCTCTTTCTCTGCAGATAATTTAAATAATTTGAGATAAGGTCTTATGCTGCTTTGGCTGGCTCCTTAACTTCATGGGCTCAATCGATATTTCACTCTTAGCCTCCCAAATATAAGGTACCATTGCAGATAATTTTTCTTCCTTTTTTATTATAAATATTTAAAACAAATTAAGAACTTTCTCCTACAATACAAAAATAGCTCAATGGAGAAAAAGTAATAGCCTGGAAATAGACTTCAATGCATACATTAAAATTTAGAGCTATAATGAGGGAGATATCAAAAATTCCCAAAGAGAGGGACAATCTTACTGCTAGCTTAATTGCCTAATTATTCTTAGGAGTAATAAAGTTATATTCTAATTTCCTATGTTTGCCAAACTAAGTTCCAGGTGGATTAAGTAATTTAAGTGGAAACAAGAAAAAAAATCTCTTTAAGGGGAAATGCCTAAGCTTGAAAAGAATTTTAAAAACAAGGTGTTAGTTTTAATTGCCACTGTGACAGATTCATGAGAGAAATAATTTAAAAGGAGTTCATCATAATGCACAGTTTGCTCCTGGCTCCCAGCCAGGCAGAACATGGCAGGAGGGGCTGGTGGTGCAGGGCTGTTTACCTCATGGTGGCCAGAAAGCTCAGAGAGGGAGTCTGAGAGGAAGACACACAGCACAGGACATCTCAAAGGCGTGCCTCCAAAGACCCACTTCCTCCAACCAGGCCCCACTTAACATTTTCACTACTTCTCAAAACAGCAACACCGGCTGGAGAGAAAGCCTTCAACAGGAGTCTGTGGAACCCTTGGTATTCTACTCCTCAACACAGAAATGTAGTAAAACTTTGATGTCACCTATCACAAAGATATTTATCCTTAGATGCAAAAACAAAAAACAGAAACAGAAATGCTTGTCAAGTCTGATGTGTAAGAAATGTTCCTTTTGGGACTGGTGAAATAGCTCAGTTGGTAAAGCGCTTGTCACACACACACACACACACACACACACACACACACACACACACACACACGAGGATCTGAGTTCAATCTCTAGCAACCACATAAACAGCTAAGTGTGATGGAGCGTGCTTGTACTTCCAGGGCTGTGGAGGTGGGAAGGTGGTTTATTCTCGATGCTACAGCAGCCTGCGTCTGTAGTCGGCAGTCACATCGTCACCTGTTGCCAGGTGCCTTCCCATCGTCAGTTATGGGACGTGCGCACCCCTTAAATGTGCCCACCGGGCCAGCTCGCTCTCTTACCTCTCTTGCTTCTCTTGTCTGTCTGTCTGTCTGTCTGCCTCTCATGTCCCCACTCCGACATGGCCCTTTGCTCTTTTACTCTCCCTCTCCCCCAATAAACCTCTTGCACTAACTCGGTTGCAAATGGCGTGTGTGCTTAATGGCACACCTTGGCAGGGCCCTCAAGACCTTTTTTTTTAGCCTTTCAGGTGGATCCCTAAGGCTTGAGGGCCAGCCAGCCCCAGGTGCCAGTGAGAGACTCTGTCTCAAACATAAAACCACGGTGGACGGTTCCTGAGGAATAACACCTAGGGCTGACCTCTGCCCTCCATGCACCCTCTCACACACACAACCATCTTGCAAGCCAGACAACTGCCACCTTCGTAAGCCCAGGTATGTCTGCTTGCCAACCATTATCACGGCAGGTCAAGTGACTACTGACATTCCTTCATAGGAGGGGACGTCCGGGTCACTGCACCTTCACCTGAGCTTCCAGACCCTCCTCCCACCCACTTACATGCATTTTTGGCCTAATTACAAGTGGGGCAGGGTGTATTGGAGAGGACCTAGAGATACAGGGGTCAAAGATGAGGGAGAGGCGCTCCACCTGTGTGGCCACTGGGAAGCCGTCTTCCACGCAGTGAGACTGCTTTGCCTATGCTCCTGTCTGTAACCCCTCATCTGGGCTCTGTAAATAAGCTCAACAAACTCATTCGTCCCCTAGAATGGGCTGAACTGGAATTATACTTTGGTTTATCCTTAGAAATTTGGGAGGAAGGTGTAGACATCGATCCCATCTCCCCTCCACCCCCAACCTGGAAGTAGAATTCTGGATCAACTGGAATGGGCCTTGTTACTTCCATTGAAGTTGCTCTCACGTCGGAACGGAAGTTTGAGGTGTGGTGGCGCCTCCAGGTTATTATTAACTCTGGGGAGGTTGAAGGAGGACTCCAGTTGAAGGCCAGCCTGGGCTACACAGTGAAATCCTGTTTAAGGAGGAAACGCAGCAAAATAAACACGTGATGCACTGGAATCAGGCAGAAAAGAAAGTCCCACCCAGATCTGCGGACTCGGGTGGGATCTGAGTCACCATTGCGCGCCCTGACTTGGGAGTCCGATCCGTCGTATCCTGGGTCCGCAGAGCCTCCAGCGACCAGTGGGCTCCAGGCTGAGAAGTTTCCCGAAGAAGCTGAGGGAACCGTGCTCCTGGGGATACCACAAGCATGCGTGGAGGGGACCGGCTATACGTATGCCAATCTCCGGCCAATGAGTAAGCTCAGCCAATCAGCGCTCTGCGTCCCTGCCGGCGTCCTGCGTGATGGCATGGAGACGGGAGGGCGTGCAAACGCCGAGCGGGGCCCGCCGTGGTGCTCTGTGGGCCTCGCATTTCCTTCCAGCTTAGCCCTGGGATCTTTCTAGAAAGGATGCGCCGGCCTTAGGGTTGGGGGAAGGTGTGCCCGAGGATTCTCACTTCCGGCCCCGCCCATAGGACCGGAAGCTCCGAGCCACTCAGTATCCGGTTCTCTTCCGGTCTTCTGCGTGTTGTCATGGAGATGGGATTGGCAGTATCCAAACACCGAGGGATGCTCGGCGCTCAGACCTGGGAACTGCTCACGAGTCTCGTCTTTTTACAGCTGCCAATCTCCTCTCAGACCAGCGAGATCATTCCATAAGCAACGTGAGGTCCTCAGTGTAGCTGGATGGGCACGTAAAGCCGCTCATTTCCGGGTTTTGCGTAGTTAGCGATCAGCCAATCAAGGCCCCGCACTTTTTCCCGCGTCTCGGGGGTTGCCATGGTGACGCAGAGGCCGTATCCACGCGTCCAGGGAAAGCTGGTCAGGTCGCTGGGTTCCTCTGTTCCCCCTGTCCAGGCTGCTGCCGCGCCGTGGCGAGGCAGAGGGCGTGGGACGCGGGTCCCCACCATCGCACAGGTGGGTGGGTAGCTGAGGCTCCATCTTACCCTTGATCCACCTCATCCTCGTCACACTCTTGGCCACTTTCTCCAGGACAGGGGTGGGGGAGTAGGGTCCTGAGATGGGACGTTCGGTCGCCACCTCCTTCAACCGAGTGTGCATCTTCATGACCGGGGATCTCAGCTTCCTCTTGGCTGATGCCGGCGATCCAAGCTGGTTGTGATGGTCGTGAGACTTCAGCTTGGTTGATGTCCACGGGGTACTCTGGTGGTGGTGATCTTGAGCTCCCAGCCTGATGTCCATGGCCCACGTTGGTTATGCTGGCCACGAACCCGAGCCTGGTCGATGTACATTTCCTTGCTGGTTGAAGCTGGTTGCGTCGGAAAATGCCTTTTCCGATGATGGGAGAAAGGGAATTCCAGCCTGCAGGATCAGTCTCAAGTGGTGTGAGGAGGGGCACCGGCTGAGCTCTCAATCCGCGGGAGGGGTTGGTTGGGCCTGCCTGCAGAGCGAGTTTAAAGAGCTCCAAACTCAGAGGCTTGTAGTAACCTGTTTAAAGTCCTAATTAAAAAAAAAATCAGGTTTATTTTGTTTATTTATACTTATTTACTTACGTGCGTGTGCACATGTATATGTTGAGTGTTTTTGGAAGCCAGAAAATGGTGTTGGATTCCTTGGATCTCGAGTTACAGGTAGTTGTGAGCCACCTAATGTGGGTGTTGGGAAACAGAACCCAGGTCCTCTGCAAGAGCAGTTACTCTTAACAGCTGAGCCATCTCTCCAATCCATTGATACGGTTTTGACATGGCTACTCGTGTGTGTGTGTGTGTGTGTGTGTGTGTGTGTGTGTGTGTGTGTGTGTACTCGCATGCGCACGTGTGTGGCATGCATGTGAGTGTACTGGTGCATGTGCCTGTGTGTGCAGGCAGAGCAGGGTGTCAGGTGTCTTCTGTCACTGTCTGTCATTTTGCCTTGAGACAAGGTCTCTCCCTAACCAGGAGCTGGCTGTTGAGACTAGACTAGCCTGCCAGGAAGCTCTCGGGCTCCTCCTGTCTCTGCCCTGCAAAGCTGAGATTGCTGGCACGGACATTCACTCTGGGTTCTGTGTGTGTGTTGAGGATTTGAAGTCCTCAAGCTTGCAGGGTAAGCACTTACCAGCTGAGCCGTCCTCTCAGCCCCCTGTGTTCTTCTTTTAAAAAAGTTATATTTTAAGCTGTAGTAGATTATGATGGGCTTCATTATGACATTTTTCTGTACATATACCCGTGTGTTTTGTTTATATTTGCCCCTCGCTGCCCTCTCCTGCTTCTGTTGTCCCTCCTGCTTATCCTCTTCCTCTTCCTCACGTGGTCCCCTTGTACCTTCACAGCATTTACGTTTACATCTGGATTCTGCGTATGAGAGAAAACACAGCGGTATCATGTCTTCCCTGCCTCTCACTACCCTTTGTTCCGAGCTCTCCATCCTTAGGCTTTTTCTTCCTTACAGTCCCCGTCTACTCCCATGCCCTGTATGTAGTATATGTTTAAATCTAGGTTACGTACTATACTGCATATTGTATATGTTCACATCTAGATTCCACCTGAGAGTGAAAACAGGCAGCATTTGTCTTCCTGGCTCTGCCTTACCTCATACAGGCACCACAGTGACTCCAAATCCTATTCATCTTCCTGAAAATGATGTCATTTCACTCTTCCTGACAGCTGAGTGGCACTCTGTTGTTTGTGTAGAACACATTTTCTTCATCTATTCATCTGTGCAGGGGCGTCTAGGTTGATTCTGCATTTTGGTTATTGAGGGCAGGGCTGTGGTAAATGAAGATGCAGGGTACCCTGTGTGTGCTGCCTGAGCTTCCTTTGTGTGAGTGTGCATGCATGTACATGTGCATATGTTCACGTAGGAGTAAAATGGCTGTATGTGTGTCTGTCTGTTTTTTGAGAATCCTTCATATTGATGTCCTATGGCCCACACTGGTTTACTGTGAAAAACAAGAGCCTGACCCATGTCTGCCTATCTGTGACTCTCTGCCCAGCTCTAAGTGCACTTCATATACCAGAACTAACTAACCAACCAACCAACTAACTTACCAACTAACTTACTAACTTCTTTGTTTCTCCTTTTTTCCTCCTCCTCTCCCCCTCCTTCATTTCTCCCTTCTCTCTCTTTTTCCGCCTCCTCCCCTTCTGCTTCTTCTTCTATTTGTTTTTTTGAGACAGGATTTCTCTGTGTAGCCCTGGCTGTCCTGGAACTCATTCTGTAGACCAGGCTGGCCTGGATTGCAGAGATCCATCTGCCTCCACCTCTTGAGTGCTGGTTAAAGGTGTGGGCCACCACCGCCTGGCCAGAATGTCTCTTCTTACGTTACATCCTCTGCTGCAGACTCCCTCTCTGCACGCGTTCTCACTCGTGCTCCCTTGATGTCAGCTGTTCAGACTGGGATGAAACTCAGCGTTCTTTGAATTTGCATTTCCCTGAGGGCTGATGGTGGTGAACATTTTCATGTATTTACCGCCATCTGTCTTTCTTCTTTTGTGAACTGTCTGTTCCTTTCATTTTTTCATTTGTTCGCTGGTGGTTTATATTCTTTGTGCTTTTATTGAGTTCCTTTTGTAGATTCCAGATGTTAATCTTCTGTGAGATATATTGATAGCAAAGACCATGCTGTTCAGTAAGGGGCCTTTGCTCTGACTGGTTTCTTTGCTGTGAGGAAGCTGATGCTATTTGTTAGTTCACCTGGTTCTATCCCGAGCCATTGACTTCTTTCCAGAAGTCTTTGCCTCTGCCTGTGCCACAGAATGCTCCCCTGGCTCTCCCAGCACTTGCTGCTTCAGATCAGATTATGTCTTTGATCTGTTCTAGGGTTTGCTTTGCAAAGGATGAAAAATAAAGATCTGTATGTGTGCTGGCTAGTTTTATGTCAAATTAACACAAGCTAGAGTCATGGGAGAAGAAATTTTGTTTATATTGCATTTGTTTAACTCAGTGAAGCTGTGTTACTGTGCCTGTGTAAAACACCTGATGGTCAAATAAAGAACTGGCCAATAGCAAGGCAGGAGAAAGGGTAGGTGGGGCTGGCAGGCAGAGAATATGGGAGAAATCTGGGAGGAGAAGCAGAGACCAGAGAAGGAGAACTCCAGGGACCAGCCACCCAGCTGCACAGCAAGTCTCGGAGTAAGAGTAAGATTTACAGAAGTAAGAGAATGGAAAAAGCCCAGAGGCAACAGATAGACGGGATAATTTAAGATAAAGAAAGCTGGCTAGAAACTAAGCCAAGCTAAGGCAAGGCATTCGTAAGTAATAATAAGCCTCTGTGTGTTATTTATTTGGGAGCTGGGTGACGGGCCCCCCAAAAATGAATAAAAAACAAACAACAACAGAACCTCAATTGAGAAAATGCCTCCATAAGATCAGGCTGCAGGCTGCAGGGCATTTTCTTAGTGATTAATGGGGAGAGGGCCCAGCCCATTGTGGGTGGGGCTATCCTTGGGTTGGTGAACAAGCCATGGGTAGGAAGCCACCCCTCCCTGGCCTCTGCCTCAGCTCCTGCCTCCAGGTTCCTACTGTGCATAAGTTCCTGTCCTGACTTCCTTCAATGATGAACAGTGATGTGGAAGTGTAGACAAACCCATTCCTCCACAATTTGCTTTGGTCATGGTAGTCTGCATTTTTTCTTTGGGCTGCTAATAAAGACATGGAGACTTACCATTAATTATGAATGCTCAGCCTTAGCTTAGGCTTGTCCCACTAGCTCTTTTAACCTAATTTGACCTGTTCCTATTCACCTATGATTTGCCTTGGGGCTTTTTACCTTTCTTTCATTCTGTATGTCCTCCTTTCCCTCTTCCTCCATGTCTGGCTGGCCCCTGGTGTTTCTTTTTCTTTCTTCCCCCCGCCTAAATTCCTATTCCTACTTACTCTCCCTACCCAGAAGACCTGCCTACACCTCCTCCCTTGCTTTTGGCTGTTCAGCTTTCTATTAGACCAATCAGGTGCCTTAGGCAGGCAGGGTAAAACAGCGACACATTTTTACATAGTTAAGCAAATGCAACACATCTTTGCATAGTTAAACAAATATTTTTCGGGCTGAAGTGATGGCTCAGTGGTTAAGAGCACCAACTGCTCTACCAAAGGACCCAAGTTCAATTCCCAGCACCCACATGGCAGCTAACAACTATCTGAAACTCTAAGATCTGACACCCTCACACAGACATACATGCATACACCAATGCACATAAAATAAAGATGAATAAATTGTTTTTAAAAAATATTCTTCAGCATAAACAAATGCAGCACATTTTTACATAGGTAAACAAATATTCTGCAACAATGGTGTTTCATCGTAGCAATAGTAACCCTAAGACGTGGGGCTACATAGTGAGACCCTGTCTCAGAAATTATAAAAGGGTGGGAGAGAGACTAGAGACATGGCTCAGCGGTCAGGAGCACTGCTGCTCTTCCAGAGGACCCAGGTTTGATTCCCAGCACCCACACAGTGGCTCACAACAAAATGTAACTCCAGTCACAGGGGATCTGCTGCCCTCCATGGACCTCGTTGGCACCAGGCATGCATGAGATGCCCAGACATAAGTGCAGGCAGAACACCCACACACAAAATAATAAATGCATCTCAGTTCCTTTTCTTTTTCCTTTTTTAGAAACAAAACAAGCAAACACACAAACAACCCAAATCACAGCCACTCTCCTCCAGCACTGGTGGTGGCATCGACTTGGTGACAACGTTTCCACGTTCCTAGGCCAACTCTGGTGCAGCTAGCTTGCATTTGTCACTGTCATTTCTGTTCACCTTCCAGGAGCTAGAGATGCTGTTTTTCCACATATGAGAAATCGACCCAGATATGGAAAACTTTATCCTGTATGAGGAGATTGGCAGAGGAAACAAGACCATCGTGTATAAGGGGCGTCGGAAGGGCACCATCAATTTTGTGGCCATTCTTTGTACTGAAAAGTGCAAACGGCCTGAAATGACCAACTGGGTAAGTCCTGGTTGTCTCCACCTACCTGGCGGCAGCAGAATGCCAGGTGATGCGAGCATGCAATCTCTATTGTCTGGAGGCAGAGGAGGACAGAGTTCAAAGCCAGCCTGGGCTACGTAGTCTCAGAGAAACAAGGGATGGTGTAGAATGCTTCTCTACCATGTGAAAGGCCCTAGATTCTGTCCCTAGCACTCAAGTAGATAGATAGATAAGTAGGTAGATAGATAGGTAGGTAGGTAGGTAGGTAGATAGATAGATAGATAGATAGATAGATAGATAGATAGATAGATAACAGAAGCTATTAGGTATGCTGTGTCCAAATTCAGTGTTCTCACCCTGGAATGAGGGCCCCATCTCTCTGTCCGGTGCTGTCAGTCTTGATAACGAGTAATGAGCTTGTCCAGGTAGTTGCCAGCTCTTTTGGTTCTGGTGCAAAGGGATCTATGATAGACATTTATGTTAAGAGTTGGTGTGTAAGGGTTGACGAGATGGCTAGTGGAGAAGCTCCTGCCGCCAAGCTTGATGCACCTGAGCTCCATCCCTGGGACCAGCATGGTGGAAAGAAGTGCCCAGCTCCTAAAAGTTGTCCTCTGACCTCCATACACATGCTCCAGCATGCAGCCTCTGTGCACGTATAACATTCTTGCAGAGGTCAGAGACCAGCTTTTGGGTTGTGGGTCCCGAGATTGAACTCCTATCATCAGGCTTGGTGGTAAACACCTTCGCCCACTGAGCCATTTTGCTGGCCCAGTGTGTATTCCACATTAGAGGAGCACATTTTTTTTTAAGATTTATTTATTATGTATACAGTGTTCTGTCTGCACATATCCCTGCAGGCCAGAAGAGGGCGCCAGATCTCATTACAGATGGTTGTGAGCCACCATGTGGTTGCTGGGAATTGAACTCAGGACCTTTGGAAGAGCAAGCAGTGCTCTTAACCTCTGAGCCATCTCTCCAGCCCTAGAGGAGCACATTTACACTTCATTCTGTGGGAAGGAATCTGCTCATGCTGCCAACAGGTTGTTCTGAGTTAACTATAAAGCTGGACACCGTCCAAAATGGAGGCTGAGGAGGAATGCAGACCTGCTGGCTGTACTGTTTGTCTTTTGCTACGCACACGGGGTGGGGGATGATGACAGAGGATGAGACCACCTGACCAGAAGGACAAGAAAAAGCTTGGGAATGCCTGCTGTGGCCTCCCATATTGCTGACTGTCTGAGTAAAGCACAGATTACTCTCACAGCTCCTGGTTCTGTGCCCATGGTGGCAGGGCGGGCTGCTCACACCTCACTGCTCTGAGTTTTGTCCATGTAGGTTAGTTTTGCTCGATGGTGTCCACTCGGGTAACACAGATAGTTTTATTCTAGCAGCCTGCCTTCAGCCTTCCAGGCCTTTCTCTTCCCTGCCTGCAAGACACTCCCTTCTCACAGTACAGATTAGTCTTGTGGGTTTTAGTGTTGTGCAGAGAGCCTGGCTCCCTTTGTGGAGTGGAGCTGGTTTTGGACATTAACAGGACATAAGAATTGGAAGAGAAGCAACGGTTATGTTGGGCGTTTGGCCAGATGCCAGTCACGAGAGGGGCAGAACGCCTAAGAGAAGGACAGGGTTGATTTGATTTCAAGGAGCCGTTGTCTACAGTGGGTTGTAAGGAAGACTGTGGGTGTTTTAGTCCAGTTAGAAGCACATTTGGAACAGAGATGCAAATTTGAGCATCATTGTACTTATCCATGTTGGGTCAGGGGAGGAAAGGTGGCAGGGGTCTGGGTTCCTCCATTACAACGTGAAGAACATATGAAGAAATGGATGGAGATCCAGCAGGGAAGAGCAGAAGACAGCACCCAGCAGGAGGAGAATGGAGAGGGTAGCCACACTTTGACTGGCTTCTCCCCTCCTTCTGATGACTACCGCCCCTGGGTTCTTTGGAGCTGGTATTCTAGGCTCCACCCTGCGTCTGTTAACTGATTTGCTGGGAGGAGATTCTCTGTGCACCTTGATACAACTGAGGCATGAAGTACCTTCCTAGTGGAGGTGGAGACAGCAATTTAGAGCTGGCAACTGTGACAGGCAGGGCCTGGAGTGTCAGAGATGCAGGGTGAACAGAGAACTCAGCTGTACTGTGCAGCTGATGAGGTGAAGGCTGAGGACTTGGGGGTGGAGAGGTGGCAGACCAATGGCCTTCAAGGCCAGGCTTCAGTGGAGACAAACCCTGGAGCTGGGGTGTTCAAGATGTGAGGAGAAGGTAGATACTGCTCTTGCGTTCTTCTGAGTGTAGGATGTTGTCTGGGTGCGCATTTGAGGCTAGGATAGAAACTTGAAATAACATGGCCTGAGGCAAAGTGCTCAGGGTAATGAAAGGAATGCCTCAGAGTAGCGAGGGGTAAGAAACTTTCTTATCTGAGGGTAATTAGGAACAAATTTTAGTCTATCACACTTTATTCATTCATTCTTTCACACATTCACTTTCTCACACTTCTCTCATACTTCTTCATCTCTCACCCAGCACACACACACACACACACACACACACACACACACACACACACACACACACACACCCCACATTCTGCAGCAGCTCTTGCAGTGAAGTGTCACAGCACGGGTGTGTGAGTTTACATGGATCCCTGGAAAGAAGATCACAGGCACCTTAAGAATACATTTAGCCTTCTAGGCTACGGGGGATCCAGCCTCTCTGGACTCTCGGGACTGACCCCTTTCCCTTTGCCCCAGGCATTTTTATTTCTCTCTATTCCGGTTTAGCCAGTTAATTTCCAAATGCTCAAAACCACCTAAAAGGAGCTCCCAAAGATACAATGCCAAGTGCAAATTCCTCGATTTCTCCGGTACCATGGTTTGTGGGTTTCCTGAACCAAGTTTTGCATAGGCCTTTGTATCCTGGGGAGACTCTGCGACAAGATTCACAGAAGACAAACAAAAGGTGTCAGTTAAACAAAAGATGGATTAGGGCTAGGTGCTACTCTCTGGAGCCAGGCCAGGAGTAGCTCAGCAGGAATGCAGCCACAAGCTCTCACATAGCTCCACACAGCCAGGAAACAGTTGGTGGAACCTTGAGTGGTCAGGTTACCTGCAGAAAAGGGGCCTACCGCAAGGACTAGGTCTTGATGTAAACAGCCTGGCCTTGATTTAGCAATAAACAACTCGAAAATTTGTTCCTAATTACCCTCAGATAAGAAAGTTTCCTACCCCTCGCTACTCTGAGGCATTCCTTTCATTACCCTGCGCGGATCGTGGGAGCTGGTCTCTCACAGTCATTGATAACTTTGCCTCAGGCCATGTGATTTCAAGTTTCCATCCTAGTCTTTGTATCTATTCTGTAGGGGCAGCTAGTTTATATTGGACTTGTTCTAAGATTTTTGCAAAATATGTAAAAGGCTGTCTTTGAGACTGAGAATACTTTCCTGTGTCAGTAAAGAAGAATATTCAGGCAATATTTCTGTTCATCAGAATTATACAGCTTAAACAGAAATCCACAGCTAACTGAGTGCCCAGAGGTGTAAAATACACTAACAGAGGGCCGTGGAAAGCACCCACAGCTGTTCTTACAGGGAGGTGTAATAATGGTGGCACCTGAGAAAGTTACAGCCAGGAACAACTGGTTTCCACAGCCAGTGACCCCACAGCCTCGCCAGGTGGGACTCCCCATCAGGGAGTTACACATCTGGTGGGTCTACTTGTCAAACACCAGTTGTCACCTGCTGTATACTCCCACAGCCCTCAGCACCAAGTGTTTGTTTTCTTCCGTGTAAGGGAGGTCCAGCCCGTGTATCTGCCACCATCAGCTTGCCCTCATTGCCTGGCTCTGCACTCCAGTCCTGAGTTCTCTTCAGCCTCACATGCCCTAGCAGTTTGCTGGGAATGGAGGAGGAGGAGGAGGTCTGCTCAGGATTGGCATCTTGAATAAACCCCTTTGGAAGTTTCTTGGAAAATCTCAGCCAGTGACACCCTCCCACCCCCCATCCCCCCCCAGACAGGGCTTCTCTGTGTAACAGCCCTGGCTGTCCTGGAACTTGCTCTGTAGACCAGGCTGGCCTTGAATTTCACAGTGATCCATCTGTCTCTGCCTCCTGAGTGTTGGGATTAAAGGCATGTGCCATCACAGCCCGGCTGGGCCAGTGACTTTTAGTAACATATTGCTGCTGTCTGCAGGAGGTCAGGAAATGTTTTCCAGATAGGCATGAGCTTGCCTTGGGCCTTCCAAGGCTGCTCTTCTATGAACACAGGTGAAACAGATGTCAGGTCAGCCCCCAGCAGCCTTTGGCAGGGACTCATAGACAGCACAGGAGGGACAGACTGTGTAGATGGGTGGGGAGAGCAGGTGGCTGAGGCAGCTGGATCTGGGGTAGTCTGTCCTGTGTGGCCAGGCAGAGGTGAGATCCACAGCTCTGTCTGCCATGTAGTCATGGATAGGAGGGGAATCCCAGGGCACATTTTAGACTTTGTTTCTTTTCTTATTCCGCCATGTCCACAAAGCACCTGGGTGTGTGTGTGAGCTATGATATAGTTTATTGTAAAGTAAATGTTGTGCCTACGGCTGAGTGTGCTTACGGCTGGTGAGGCTGAGCTGGGTCTGTGGGTGAGGAAAACACTAAATTTGTCTTCAGATTATGATGTTTTCAACCTCCATTGGATGTATTGGGACTTAGCACCATCGCAGAATCACAGAACACCATGGTTCCTCCCTCAGCAGTGGCTGTATTGATGTTACTTTCACCCATTTACCATAAATAGTCCTTTGCAGTTAGCGCTGGCACGCTTGTTTTGTTCCTTAAGGTCCCTTGCCTTTCCCAGAGGCCGCCCTTGGGAACCAACACTTCTGATGGCTGTAGATTGTGGGGCATTTACCCAACCACCCCCACAGTTCCCCAGAGTTTTCTTGAGTGCGAGCAGCAGGAAATATTAGATAGAAGGATTTATTGCGGAGAATCTTGCGGAGATAGACAGATAGAAAATAAAGGATAGCCTCGAGAGGGCCTGGAACCTATTCCAACCGCCCGGACTGTCTCTGCCCCAGGGTTTTTATAGAGACACCAAGGGGTGGAGCAAAAGACCTCCTCCCCCAGCACAGCCAAGTGCAGACCATCTCAGACACCTGCACTCAGGCCCGTGGTCCTAATCATCCTCTATGCGGACCTGCTGGGTAAAGCCACGAGGAACCCGAGAATGGTCTCCCACAGTAGATAAACCCCACAGTTTGTCTGCCTTTCCAGTTGCAGTGAGATGCCGAGTGAGCACTGTGTGTTTTGTAGGTCCGTCTCACCCACGAAATCAAACACAAGAACATCGTGACGTTCCATGAATGGTACGAGACCAGCAATCATCTCTGGATGGTGGTGGAGCTGTGCACAGGTAGGAGCAGGAGAGGCTGAGCCAGACACAGTGCTGGCTGGGGGAGCCATGATGGATGTGGATGTGGCTGATCTAAGCTCATTTCCCTTAGGTGGTTCTTTAGAAACTGTGATTGCTCAGGACGAGAACCTCCCAGAAGATGTCGTGAGAGAGTTTGGGGTGGATTTGGTCACAGGGCTGCACCATCTGCACAGGCTTGGCATCATCTTTTGTGACCTTACTCCTGGGAAGGTAATTCCTGAGTTCTGACTTCCTCATGCCTCATGTCTCAATTCCAAGGGCCTTCTCAATAAAATAAAAGGAAACCTATAGCACCTATATAAGGTGTATAGCTGCCTATTTAAGTAGCTTTTGGGACAGAGTTCTTCGCTGCAGAGGTCTCTGATTTTTCACTTGCTTTGTGTGCTGTGAGTGATGAGCCCCATACAGTATTCTCCTAGCACTTAAACCCAGTACTCAGTTATGGCCATGCCTTTGGTTTGACAGTAGCATTCTTGACTGTGTACTGTTCCTGACTGCACAGACAATGTTTTGTTTTCCATGAGTAGATGCCTCTGTGTTTGTATTCAAGCGTAGTGAGCCTGGTTGGCCCCAGGCAGACTCTGGAAGCTGGTGTGATCCTGCTTGAGTCACGACCTCACTGTGTAGCTTTCTTCTCTGTGGTATTTGCAGTGTGTTCAAGTGGCATCCTGCACTGTTGCATAAGCCACATGCTTAGGGGTTGCACGCGTCACTGGCCTGAATTTTCTTGTCCTTTATATAGCAAAGTGGAAGCTAAGTGTTTGGTTTGTGGCTTTGCTTTGTCCCGTCTGTATATGAAGAAGGAACTAAAAAGGAAGGGGTGGGAGCCAAACAACAAAACTGAAAGGAAAACTCAGTGGTGATCTTGTGAAACATTTGGTAACTTTTGCTTGGAATATTCAGAAACCTAAACCAGGTCAGCAGCCACTCAGCTGTCATTGTGCAGAAGCAGCTAGGACAATATTCAAATGTGTGGGTGTCATTATAGACTTTGAAATTTGAATTTTACAGAATTTCCGCATATTAAGAAATACTGCCTCTCTTCTTGCCGGGCAGTAGCAGTGCACACCTTTAATCCCAGCACCCAGGAAGCAGAGGCAGGTGGATCTCTGTGAATTCGAGGCCAGCCTGGTCTATAGAATGAGTTCTAGTTCAGCCAGGGCTACACAGAGAAACCTTGTCTTGAAAAATAAAATAAAACAAAACGAAAAAACAAGAACAACAACAAAAAAAGAAATACCATTCAGAGCTGGGCATGATGGCTCATACCTGCAATCCTAGCACTTGAGGGTTGAGGCAGCAGGATTGCTGTAAGTTCAAGGCTAGTATGATATACATAGTGAGATTCAGAAAGGCCTGGGCAAAAACCAAAACAAAAAAAACCCAAACAAACCGAAAACAAAACCTAAAACAACCTCTCACCACCAAAAAAACCATACAATTTTTACTTACTTTTAAGAAACATTTAAAAAGCTCTTTGTTCACAGCTGTGTGAAAACAAGTGGGGATGTGGGCTTTGGGCCAAGGCCACAGTTTGCTTAGCCCTCTGTGGGACATTTAATGGAGTTATTGCAAAACTTTGCAGGAGGGTCTGTAATGTAAACTGCTCTAGAAAACCAGGGTTTGGAGAGAGTTGGGCAGCGTTCTGTTTCTGCTGATAAAGTTTTATTGAGACACTGCCCCACCCTTGGCCTGTGTGTTACCAGTGGCTGCTGTTTTGAACAACTTCGGAGCTGTGGGGTTAGGACATGCTGGATGGCAGTCTGTGTTTGAACAGGTCTCCAGGGGACGCTGATGGTGGAGTCAGAGGCCACTGTGGTAGGTTGGCTGGCTCCTTTAGTGAGCGTTAGTGTCTAGGAGTTAAGGCCAACTTTAAACTGCTCTCACCAGAAGGTCACCAGGCCCATCACTGTCCAGCGGCATTTTCAATGATATGGCTGGAAATGATGCTGTTTCCTGGGCTGGTTCGACAATCCACAGCCAACTTCTGATCACACAGGGCGTTGGCCAACTTGAGTAAGTCCCAGCCCTTTATCTGTGAGACTCCCATGAGTGCCCACAGAGCCGAAAAAGCGGGGCCCTTCCTTCCCTATTGTAGCATGAGAAGCAGGATTCCAGGGGCTGCCATACCCCTAGGGTCAGGCAGTGGGTAGGAGGTCACCTGGGCCAAGTCTACAGGCCTGCACTAGCTGTGGTCCCTCAGTTTAAAACCCCTCACTACATGTCCTTTCTTGACCCACACAGCAGGTGGATCTTTAGACTCCCTCTCACTCTGTGTGTTCGTGGGGATTGGCCTTGAGCCCTGTCAAACACCCACATCCTGCAATGCTCTAGGTCTATACATCAGATGCTGTGTTTGCCTTACATAACTTGTGCACATCAGAAAATCTTCCCCCAATTTTCTTGATGCACAGTTGTTTGACTTTGTGGGTTTGAGGATACAGAGTGCCGGCCACCTTTACCTTTATTCTTTATCTCATAATGCAGCCTGTCTGTTCGTATCTTTCTCAGAGCCCAAGGCTCCTTGGTGGCTCCACGGTGTCTGAGAATGGATATTCGAGAGAGGACAGTGTCAACTTTGATTCTGCTGTTACCAAGATGTCATGTTGGCTGGTTTTTTAGGAAGCAGCTCCCAGTTTTATTTAAACCACAACTCTCAGGATCATTTCTATAGTTCATTGGCTTCTTTTTCAAAGCATAGTGTGTCAGCATATTTCTGAGCCATCACACGGCAAGAAGGCTGCAGTTAGCCCTGGGCACAGTTAGGAGAGGTTCCCTCCAAACCTGTCTATGAAGACACTGACGATTTCCCACCTTCCTAGATACTCTTGGAAGGGCCTGGCACACTGAAGTTCAGCAATTTCTGCCTGGCGAGGGTGGAAGGAGAGAGTCTGGAGGAGTTCTTTGCTTTGGTGGCCGCAGAAGAAGGAGGTGGTGACAATGGAGAAAACACGCTGAAGAAGGGCATAAAAAATCGGGTCAGAGGTAGGTGGGCCGGGCAGCTCACATGCCATAATCCAAGCCACGTGCTTCGCTACTCACACACTGCATGAGAAGCAAGACGGGATTCTGGACGAAGAGTAGCTTCGTCTTTGGCTTACAGTCTCCCTGCGTCTCTAACGGTATGTCAGCAGGAGAGGTCTTACATAATGTCTTGTCACCACTCCCCAGAGCAGGGCCGACTCAGTCAGCTCTCAGAATGTACCTGGCACACACCAGTGGCTCCTGAAGTGTGCTCAACCCTGTCGAGGGGCTGATCTTCGCAGTCCAGGCAGATCCTCCAGGTGTATTCTTAGCAGAGGGATTTGACAGGGAGATGGTGCCAGCGGCATCAGGGTTACTGTGCCTATGGCTGGGGTACTCAAGGAGTGAAGTGCTTGTGAATGATCAGGAGGACCTGAGTCTGGTCTCCTAAAACCCATGTAAGAAGAGTCAGGTGTGGCTGCACACATCTGTAATCCCAGTCCAGGGGAGCAGAGACGGGAGGATCCCTGGGGCTTGCTGCGCAGACATTCTAGTCAAACCAGTAACTTCCAGGTTCAGTGAGGGACCCTGTCTCAAAAAAACGAGGAGAGTGACTGAGGAAGTCACCAAATGTCAAGTCAACATCTAGCTTCTACCTAAATTTGATGCACATGCACCCACATACACACACACACACACCACACACATACACACATACAAACACACACAGAGGAGTGGATATGTGGGCATGTCTGTGCCACCGTGAGTGGAGGTCGGAGGGCAGCTTGAAGGAGTCAGTTCTCTTCTGTTGTGCCGGTCCGGAGGATTGAACTCAGGTCATCAGTCTTGGTGTCAAGTACCTCTGGCCACTGAGCCATCTCACTGGCTCCCAGAAATTCTATCCTTATGGTACATGCTACATTTCCCTGTGTCTTTCCATCTCTGTGGCTCTTTGTGCTGGAGATAACTCAGATGCCTAACCGAGCTGTTCTTGTCTTTGGTTTCCAGGCTCCCCAATATATGCGGCACCGGAAATCATGAAGGGAACAGACTTTTCTGTCGCCAGTGACCTCTGGTCTTTGGGCTGTCTGCTTTATGAAATGTTCTCAGGTGATGGTGTTTGGTTCATTATAAAATCAAAACTATACTAAAACCAAGAGCAAACTGAGTTTTGTGTGTTGTTTTCAAGTGCCTGACCTACCAGGTATCTCAAAACTGGTTTTAGACAATTTTTGTGTAAACAGTTTCAACTTAATTGCTTAATGTTAGACTTAGGAAGGCTCGTGAGCATTCTGACTGGCAGTGACTCTTCATACTTATCTGCAGTGTTGAAGTGTGCCTGACCATTGGAGAGTATTAGTAGAAAGTCAGATTGTGGCTTGTGAGCCAGTGACTCCAACGTATTGAGGGCTGATGAGGCCCTTGCTCATGGTGCTTACCCTGTGTGAACTTGAGTATTGACTTGGAAAACTACTTTTGCATTTGAGAAGGATGGAAGTTCATAGCCTGGTGTGCTTGTCAGGTATTGCCTTTCCCCACAAATCATGTAAATCTTGTATTTACGATAGTGTACATTCCCCTGGGATACCTGTAGTTAAGCTTGGGATTAGTGTGGATGGCAAACTGATCTGCAAGTTCATGTGATTTCAGGCAAGCCTCCATTCTTCTCAGAAACCGTGTCAGAGTTAATTGAGAAGATTCTGTATGAAGACCCACTGCCGCCGGTCCCAAAGGGTAGGTGAGCACAGCCAATCATCTTACCCGACTGGAAGCCCACCTTCACCCAGGCTGTTTTCACCAATCACAGCCCTCAAAGCTACATGTGATAGCAGCTTCAAATCAGTACATTTCTTGTTTTCGATACTGAAAGTGAAAACCAAGTCATACTAACAGCTTCCCTCATTTAAAAACACGAATTAGCACAAGAAGTCTGTTGAAAGATTTTAAAGGGTGTGTGTGTTCCTGCCACATATGATTATTTCAGGGTTGCTTCTCAGTAGGAAGAGGTGAAGCGTTTCTCAGTTTTCCTATTGGTGAGTCCAAATACTTCCGTACAGCTGTGGCTCATTGCACAGAGCTTGTCCTCAGACTGTAGCCACAGCAGCCAGCGTTCTGTGTGTATTGATGCTCCATGAAAGGGTACCCAGCTGTTTCTTAGGTCATATTGTCCTGGCTACTTCTTCCACCCACAACTGGAGATGGTCACAGTGCATACCCATCTGTGGGACCCACAGAGTGGGGACAGTTCCGTCATGTCCCAGTGCTCACTGTTGTTAGTTCCTTGTTGACATTTTTCCAAAGAAAGGAGGGCTTGCCAGGATCAGAGTTACAGTGAATTACAGAGCAAAGCTGGCAAAATTCGGAATGTTTCAGAGAATAAGGTCCGGCTAACCACCGAAGACCCGGTGTGAGGCTCTGGCTGGCAACCCTCAGTGCCGTTATTTCAGGGATGGGATGTTCTGGGGCAGTTAAAACCGAGTCGTGAAGATGCACATGTGAGATCTGGGTTAGAGGTTTGTGTCTCTGCTCTGCACACTGGTCCTCTGTGACTCACACGCTGTACTGTGGTTCATGGGTTCAGTCTGTCTGTTCAAGTCTGAAGGCTTAGATGCTGCTGCTTTAGATGTTGCTGATGGACAGTAACACAGTCCACGTTTGTAGGTTCCTCTCACCACCGTCTTCATTTTAGAAAAACCTTTTGTTTGCAGATTCTTCATTCCCCAAAGCATCCTCAGATTTCATTAATTTGCTGGATGGATTACTACAGAAGGATCCTCAGAAAAGGTACGGACAGCGTTGTGTGGGTGAGGAGTGGAGACCCGCTTTCCCTTACACGGATATAAAGTTTTTCCCTTCCCTCCCCTCTCACTCTCTTTTTTTTGAGATGAGGGTTTCCATGTATGGCTCAGATTGGTCCCTCCCCAGCCTCCTGCACTGTGATCACAGATCAACACCACCTGCGCCTCCTTCCTCTCTTTCCCTCCACCTCCTCTTCCTCTTCCTCAGAATCCTCTTGTTCCTCCCTGTATTCTTTGGATGTTGGAGGAGTGTCCTTCCACTGAGCTCTGCTGCCTTCAGCCCAGTGTGCACACTTACACACTTGGACAGTAAGGGGCTCAGTTTCCATTGGTGCAGTGTGCACACTTGCACACTTGGACAGTTAGGCGCTCAGCTCCCTTCGGTGCAGTGTGCACACTTGCACACTCGGACAGTAAGGGGCTCAGCTCCCTTCGGTGCAGTGTGCACACTTGCACACTTGGACAGTTAGGGGCTCAGTTCCCTTCGGTGCAGTGTGCACACTTGCACACTTGGACAGTAAGGGGCTCAGCTCCCTTCGGTGCAGTGTGCACACTTGCACACTTGGACAGTTAGGGGCTCAGTTCTCTTCGGTGCAGTGTGCACACTTGCACACTTGGACAGTTAGGGGCTCAGCTCCATAGGGATGCTTCTTGCCGCAGTGACAAGCTTCAAATCAAGTGAAGGAGAAGGGCTGATTCGGGCTCACAGTTGAGGCAGGACCGAGGTTTTCATGGTGGGGCGAGGCAGCAGCCAGAGCATGAGGCAGCTGGTCACATTGTGTCTCCAGTCAGGAAGCAGAGAGCAGACAAGGAGTGGGACCAGGTTAGGACATGTCCAGGCCTGTCCATCAGCCCCCACGACCCACTTCCTCCCAGCTAGGCCCCTCCTCCTGCAGGCTCCACAGCCTCTCTGAACAACCACCAGCAGGGAATGAGTGTGCACACAGATCTCAGGGGGACAGCTCACATTCCAGCCACACAGCCAACTAAAACAATCTTGATCAGTTAGTAAGATAAAGGGGGACAGACTGTAATTTGATATTTAGTGATTTATCTTAAAATTTCAAATTGACGATAGCGTCCCTTCCTACATTGGTTGGAAAACCTAAGAACTTTTTTATTAGGCTTAGTGGATTGTGAGGGTTGTGAACTTGAAACTCCAAATCCTTAGTTTTGTTCTATAGCCGTTAAGGTTTCTGACTTTTTCCTTTTGCTAAGGAATATTAATTTCACACCGAAAGAGTGACATAAAGCAACTTGAGAGGGTGATGTTGGTGAATGGTGGGGTCTGATGGCACACTGTGGGTCAGGTCTGATGGCACACTGTGGGTCAGGTCTGATGGCACACTGTGGGTCAGGTCTGATGGCACACTGTGGGTCAGGTCTGATGGCACACTGCGTCGTCAGGTCTGGGCTCCCTTCATGAGCTGTGCCCCTGTGTTTCCTAAAGATTATCGTGGGAGGGAGTCCTGCAGCACTCCTTCTGGAAGGACGCCCTGCGGAGAGAAGACTCAGCCTCGGCCTCGGCCTCGGCCTCTGAGGACTGCATCTTCAGGTAGTGCCCTGCCTGGTGCCGCTCTGCCAACTGGTCGGTGGTACCTAACATCTGCTTAATTAGGACTCCTCAAGACAGGTTTAGTCATGATGTATCAGTTCTCCGTTTTGTTCATTTTCTGGAAATGTCAAAATGGAGTTGTCAGCCTGAGTGTAGAGGGCTTTCCTGCCAGCCTTCTGTGGCTGCGTACCCAAGTGACCCAAAGTTAGTTCAAAGCACTAAGGATGTGGTAGTCATGTGTGACACAGTCATCTAGTGTGCCCTGCCCAGGCTTTGCATTGTTGTTATGAAATCTCTGTGTCAGACGGTAGGCACAGGGGTGGTGTTGGCCGACTCCCCCATTGCTCACCAGTGTTGGCCAAGCCGTGCCCCCCCCCCCCCGCCCGGTTGGCTCAGTGGTAAGTGACTGCTAATTGTTTTTAATCTTGCCAAATTCAGTGTGTTGTGTAGAGAAGCAGGAGTTTGTTGATCATGAGTGTGTGTGACGCAGGGTGCAGCCGCCACGTTCTCACCATTGTCCTCTGCTCTGTGGAGCTTCAGAGCTGGGCCAGAGTGCCACCTTCCGGGCCAGCATCACTTAGAGAAGCTGAGGTGGTGTCAGCAGATTGGGCTCCAGGCCTTGACTGTTGGTGTCAGCAAGCCAGGATACCTCTGACCTTTAGTTCCTCATCTCCAAAGTGTGCTCTGTGTGTGTGTGTGTGTGTGTGTGGTGGGGGGAGGAGAGAAAAAGGGGGAAAGGGAGGATTTATGGGGCAGGAAGGAGAGAATACCCCTGCTATGCTGTCCCATCACAGCTGTAGGGAATAAATACTGGACAACACACACACAGACATTTAGAAAGCTGAAAAAGACCCCTCTATTGATGATAATTCCCTATATTCTAAATTAGAAATCAAAGTGTTTCCATTTGCTGCTGCATGATGCGATTCTTCCTCTTCAGTCTGTGTCTTGTTTGTTTTTCTGATGTACTGTTCTTGTGAGGACTTCGAGTAGCACACTTGTGTTGGCAGTGACGGAAGCCAGCCTCCTTCCTTGGGTTTCGGGCTGAAAGCACTGTCTTTGTTTGGTTTGATGATGTGGGCTGGAGGCTTTGGAGCAGCCATCTTTCAGTCTGAGCGAACGCTAGGTAGGACGAGATCGTCTCACTCCCCAGTCCTGCAGTTACTGTGAGAGATTAGGGTGGTTGGCCTTTAAACATGGAGCCAACCTGATATTCTGACCCCTCGGGAAGTATGTCTTGCTGGATGCCTTTGGGATGGTGGAAGGGCAGGAAGGAATGGGGTGGGGTGGGGGATGTGGCTCATGTTCCTGGCATCCTAGCTTTCTGCCAGAGAGAGGATTCCTCTCAGAGAATCAGGCAGTGGCCAGCAGCTACTGCTGTCCCCAGGGGGCAGTTTCAGGGTTTCCTAGCAGCAGATGAACAGGGATAAAAGAAACTAGAGCAAACAGGGGATTTCTCTGCCCTCTTCCGCCTCAGCGACCCCTCACTTCTGTTCTTTGGGGCATCAACAGACCAGCTTCTCTTACAGCTAGTTTCCATGGCTTGTCAACTTTGACCCCAGGCCAAGTGACAGGAAGGGAAACCTAATGCTGGTTTTTGATGTACTCCATGGTCTGGTGTCTGTCTGTCTGCTACTGACTGTTTGTCAGAGAAAGGTTTTTAGACCCGTAGGTCTAGATGCCTCACGTCTAGAAAGGGCTGACTGTAGCTGCCCACTGGGAAATTGTGCTTGCCCAGTTCCGTGACTTGGTAGGCTAAGACGTCGTGCAGTCATGTTGGATACCTTCTGTGCTGTTTACAAAACCAAAGGGAGTCTGAAGTGAGCTTGTACTGATTTTTCCTGTCCAGCAGCAGAAATGTCATGGAATGTTCTGGACCACAGGATTCCAGGGGGCTTTCGCAAAGCCCTCAGAATGGACAGGGGAAAGGGCAGAAGGCGGCTCCTCGGCTCAGCCCGTCTTTCAGGCTGGGTAAGGCTTGGTTCACGTGTCTGTGTGTTGTGTTCTTCTCTTGGTGATTTCTGTCCCTTCTGGATAACATATTACTCTTCTACTGCAGACAACCCGACTGAGCTGAGGCCCAAGAGTGCCACAGGGGGCCAGCTGAATGAATCCATATTTCTCCTCAGGTATGTGAAACCCAGCTGTGAGAAGAGTGAGGACGGGTGCCGTCCTGGGGGCAGACTGCTAGAGATAGAGGATGGTGTTTGTGCCACCCGCCACCTTCACTCCACAGGGAACTGCTGCCCGGGGGAGTCTAGGTTTTGTATATATTTTAAAAATTGTCTATTTGGGGTCTGGAGAAATGGATCAGTGGTTAAGAGTACTTGCTGCTCTCCTAGAGGATCCAAGTTCAGTTCCCAGGACTCACATTGGGCAGCTCACAACCATCTGTAACTCCAGCTCCATGGGATGAGACGCCCTCTTCTGGCGTCCTTGGGCACTGTACTCATGTGCATAGACACACATATACATATAATTTTAAAAAGCTGCTTATTCTTTTTGTATTTGTAAATATTAAAATCTTTTCTTTCGGAACTTTATGTTCTGATAAAAATGAATTTAAAATTTCAGAAGTCCAGCCCCCTTATTTGGAAAAGGTTTTATAGAAAGGACGGGCTGTATTCTCCTCTTTTGTTGGAGTCCCCTCCTTCCTTCCTTCCTTCCTTCCTTCCTTCCTTCCTTCCTTTCTTCCCACTGCCTTTCTTCCATCCATGCCGGGTACCACACATGCCAAGCATGCCGGCTATCACACATGCCAGGCATGCCGGCTATCACACATGCCAGGCATGCCGGCTATCACACATGCCAGGCATGCCGGCTATCACACATGCCAGGCATGCCGGCTATCACACATGCCAGGCATGCCGGCTATCACACATGCCAGGCATGCCGGCTATCACACATGCCAGGCATGCCGGCTATCACACATGCCAGGCATGCCGGCTATCACACATGCCAGGCATGCCGGCTATCACACATGCCAGGCATGCCGGCTATCACACATGCCAGGCATGCCGGCTATCACACATGCCAGGCATGCCAGGTACCACACATGCCAGGCATGCCAGGTACCACACATGCCAGGCATGCCGGCTATCACACATGCCAGGCATGCCGGCTACCACACATGCCAGGCATGCCGGCTACCACACATGCCAGGCATGCCGGCTACCACACATGCCAGGCATGCCGGCTGTCACACATGCCAGGCATGCCGGCTGTCACACATGCCAGGCATGCCGGGTACCACACATGCCAGGCATGCCGGGTACCACACATGCCAGGCATGCCGGCTACCACACATGCCAGGCATGCCGGCTACCACACATGCCAGGCATGCCGGCTACCACACATGCCAGGCATGCCGGCTACCACACATGCCAGGCATGCCGGCTACCACACATGCCAGGCATGCCGGCTACCACACATGCCAGGCATGCCGGCTACCACACATGCCAGGCATGCCGGCTACCACACATGCCAGGCATGCCGGCTACCACACATGCCAGGCATGCCGGCTACCACACATGCCAGGCATGCCGGCTACCACACATGCCAGGCATGCCGGCTACCACACATGCCAGGCATGCCGGCTACCACACATGCCAGGCATGCCGGCTACCACACATGCTAAGCAAGAGCACTCCTAGTGAGTGACGCTGCAGCCTGTGTGTTGTGTTTTTCTTGAAATATATTTTATGTGAGGCACAAGCAATATTTATAACCATTGAAATAATTAAACAAGAACAACAACAGCCCAGTTTATCTTTAAGTGATTAGGGGCCAATGTATGGAAAACACTAACATTCAATAGATTTAAGATTTTTCTGGATGTGTAGGTCTCTGTCTTGCTGGTAGAGCGCTTGCTTGGAACACACAAAGTCTGAGGTTCAATCCTCAGTGTCGTAAAAGAAAAAGAAAGCCTTTATAGGAGGATTTTTATTTCATTTGAAACTATAATAATATATTAAAATTTATTCATCTGTTTTGTGCGTATTTGAGTGTAAAGTATGTTAAATTTATTTATATCTATTTTAGGCACTTTAAATTGACTCTTAGAACTGTACAACCTCTAGCATATTTTAGGTTTATAAGTGGACTCCGATAAAGGGGAGAGTGGGAGGCCAGTCAGGGGCTAACAGATGTGTGTCACAGGCACACAAGTGTCATTGTAAATATCATTATTAAGTATGATTAACAGATGCTGATGAAACATTAAACATGTAGCAAATATTACAAAAAGAAAAGACTGTATGTAGCATGCAATCTAGAAATAAGTAGTTGGTTATCCAGAACATGACCCTCAGAGCAGTTACCAGGCTGATGAGATGCTCAGCAGGTGAAGGTGTTGGCCACACAGCTGGAGACCTGAGCTGGGGAGGAGAGACCAGAGTTGGGGGAGATCCAACTGTGCAGAACTGTCCTCCGACCTCCACGAGAGTGAGGCACGTGTACCCACACGCAATAACACTTTTCAAAAGAAGCAGCTACAAAAACAATGGAGTCATTAGACACAAATTAGGCTTCAAGCTTTTTTGTGCTGTGTGCCTGTGCAAGAGGCGTGGAGGCCTCATGCCGCTCTTCCTGCTGGGAGAGGGGGCGGAGGGAGGGCATCGCTTCTGTAACCGTTGATGGAAAGCTGTCCTGTTTTCCAGTTCACGACCCACTCCAAGGACTAGTGCCATGGTGGGATTAAGTCCCGGAGAGGGTGAGGACACCAGCTGGCCACAGACCTCTCCTTTATCCAAGGTGAGCAGCCGTGGGATTTAGGACACATTACAGAAGCTCATCAAACAATTGTAAGTTGACCTGTGAACCCTGCCGTGATGGTGGCACTGACCATGGCCAAGTCCCTGGTAGCTGCCTCGAGGTTTTTTTTTCAGCAGTGAATATATTGAGGTATAATTGACGTGAAATGCAGTTCACCATTTAAAGTGGACGTTTGCTGGGCTTTTACTGGATTCATAGGTTGTGTGAGGTCATCACAATCAATTTGAGAACTTTTTTCATTATCCTGCAAAGAAGCCCTGTAACTGTTGGCTGTCAGCCTTAGTCTCCTCCACTTCTCCTCACCCCTGCTCCATGGGTCTTCTAAGTCTGCCTGTTCTGGACATTTCTTGTAAATGGAATTATAGAGCATATAGTCATTAATTGTTTTATTATTGTGTGTGTGTGTGTGTGTGTATGCATGTGCATTTGTGTGCCTGTGCATGTCCCCACAGACAATGCAGAATATATACATACTAGTGTTTAATTCTTTAGGAGCAAAGTACTTCAGCCAGACCTTTTAAAATACTAGAATTTAATTTCTTCAATATTCAGTAAGACAGAAGTAGTTACGTGTTTTGTGGATGAAGAATGGAGCAGGACCCATCATAAGGAACAAAACTAAGCTAAACCCCACCCAGTGTGAAGTTGCCTTTACCTCACAGTGTGGGAGGTTGGCAGTGCAGCCCTGACCAGCCCAGTGATGAGGGCTGTTGGTGTGACTGGCCAGTCAGCGGTGAGGGCTGTTGGTGTGACTGGCCAGTCAGCAGTGAGGGCTGTTGGTGTGACTGGCCAGTCAGTGGTGAGGGCTGTTGGTGTGACTGGCCAGTGGCTTTCTGAGACGTTTTCATGTATGAAATGGGAACAGCACGCACAGTTCAGGATTTGTGTGATGATCAGCCAGGCTGATAGTGTCTCCATGGCACTTGAAGTTCATCGACACAGCCCGCCCTCCTCAGCAGCTGGCCTGTCACTCTGCATTATAAATTGAAGTGTGACTTTTGTCCTTGTTCCAGATGACATGTGGGCATCTGAGCCAGGGTGCCCTGGAGTCACAGATGAGAGAGCTGATCTACACGGACTCGGATCTTGTGATTACCCCAATTATCGACAACCCCAAGGTGCAGAGAGACTCGAGGATTTGGGGGAGGGTGGGGGAGGGCATGTCAGAACATTCTTGCCTCACTGACTATTTCCTGTCCTGTGTGCCACATGGCCACAGTTGCAGCCCTGCCCTCCCTCAGCTCACACACCTCTGCAGCGGGCACTCTGCAGCTCTCCCTCAGCTCACACACCCCTGCAGTGGGCACTCTGCAGCCCTGCCCTCCCTCAGCTCGCACACCCCTGCAGCGGGCACTCTGCAGCCCTGCCCTCCCTCAGCTCACACACCCCTGCAGTGGGTACTCTGCAGCCCTGCCCTCCCTCAGCTCACACACCCCTGCAGTGGGCACTCTGCAGCCCTCTGCTCTCAGCTCACACACCCCTGCAGTGGGCACTCTGCAGCTCTCTCTCAGCTCACACACCTCTGCAGCAGGCACTCTGCAGCTCTCCCTCAGCTCGCACACCCCTGCAGTGGGCACTCTGCAGCTCTCTCTCAGCTCACACACCTCTGCAGCAGGCACTCTGCAGCTCTCCCTCAGCTCACACACCTCTGCAGCAGGCACTCTGCAGCTCTCTCTCAGCTCGCACACCCCTGCAGTGGGTACTCTGCAGCCCTCTGCTCTCAGCTCGCACACCCCTGCAGTGGGCACTCTGCAGCCCTCTGCTCTCAGCTCGCACACCCCTGCAGTGGGTACTCTGCAGCCCTCTGCTCTCAGCTCACACACCCCTGCAGTGGGTACTCTGCAGCCCTCTGCTCTCAGCTCACACACCCCTGCAGTGGGTACTCTGCAGCCCTCTGCTCTCAGCTCACACACCCCTGCAGTGGGTACTCTGCAGCCCTCTGCTCTCAGCTCACACACCTCTGCAGCAGGCACTCTGCAGCTCTCCCTCAGCTCACACACCTCTGCAGCAGGCACTCTGCAGCTCTCCCTCAGCTCACACACCTCTGCAGCAGGCACTCTGCAGCTCTCCCTCAGCTCACACACCTCTGCAGCAGGCACTCTGCAGCCCTCTGCTCTCAGCTCACACACCCCTGCAGCAGGCACTCTGCAGCCCTCTGCTCTCAGCTCACACACCCCTGCAGTGGGTACTCTGCAGCCCTCTGCTCTCAGCTCACACACCTCTGCAGCAGGCACTCTGCAGCCCTCTGCTCTCAGCTCACACACCCCTGCAGCAGGCACTCTGCAGCCCTCTGCTCTCAGCTCACACACCCCTGCAGTGGGTACTCTGCAGCCCTCTGCTCTCAGCTCACACACCCCTGCAGCGGGCACTCTGCAGCCCTCTGCTCTCAGCTCACACACCCCTGCAGTGGGTACTCTGCAGCCCTCTGCTCTCAGCTCACACACCCCTGCAGTGGGCACTCTGCAGCTCTCTCTCAGCTCACACACCCCTGCAGCGGGCACTCTGCAGCCCTCTGCTCTCAGCTCACACACCCCTGCAGTGGGCACTCTGCAGCTCTCCCTCAGCTCACACACCCCTGCAGTGGGCACTCTGCAGCTCTCCCTCAGCTCGCACACCTCTGCAGTGGGGATTTCTCATCCTGCTTAATCACACTTGTCACTTGCTGAGGAGGGCCACCAACCTCCAGACCCCAGACCTCAGCTCTCAGTCCCACTAGATGCTCAGGTCACTAGGGTGTGGCTGAGCAGGGCTCACTACCTGGGGAAGAGCCGGCAGGTCACACAGACCCGGTCTCTTACATGGTGTCCAGACTGATGGGGGAGACAGTGTGGCCTGGGGTCTCAGCTCCTGGTGTGCTCTCTGCTTCTGTAACAACAGTGTGTTGCTGAGGGTGACCAGGACTCTGTAAAGCATCGTCTCTGTCCGTCACTTTGAATTCCAGCCCCCTACGCTCACCTTCTGCCTCCCGCTCTGTTTTGTCCTTCCTGCTAATTAATTTGTGGAATTTCCAAATTGCTCTTGTGGAGCATGTTGATTTCCTAGGTAGACAGCCTTTGCCTTACATAACCATCTCCCAGAATGGAGTCTCCCATGAGTCAGAGTCTGGCAGAGTCTGGATTCACTAGGCCTGATGTGTAGTGGAGTGTTCTCCAGTGGGCTTTTCAGAGCAGCCTGGGATTCCATTGGCTGTGAGTCTCTTCCTTTATTTCCTTACTCAAGGTTTCTGAGAAATGTTTGGTTTTTAGCCCTGCCCCCCCCCCCCCCCCCCCCCCCCCCCCCCCCCCGCAGGTAGGGTTTCTCTCTGTAGCCCAGGCTGGCCTCAAACTCAGAGATCTGCCTGCCTCTGCCTCCCAAGTGCTAGAATTAAAGGCGTGCACCACCACTGCCTGGCCTTAAACTATTTTTATCTAAACATTTTAAAACTATATTTTAAAAGTTAGTTTTAGACTCAGGGAGAAGGTTCGGGTTCGAGGAGGCCTTGCTTGCTATTACTTTGCCCAGCCTGAGTCTCCTGAGGCCCTTGGGTTAGCAGGCCCAAGTTAATGGCCTCAGTGCTCCCACTGATTCCACACACTGTACCTCTGATGTCCTTTGTCACCCTTGAGCCTCCTCCATATCTTGTAGTCTGTCCCTGTCTGTCACAGCCGGGGACACACTCTGCTGAGTGATGGTCAGGTATTTTGTGGAGTGTTTTTCGTTAAAATTTCTCTGAGCTTTTCTCGTCATTGGAATAACATGAATTACAGCATCAGATTGGAGAGAGACTGTCATTTTATCATTTTTGTCAAGAACACTGTTGGTCGTGAGTGTTAAGGCACACACAGAGTTCTGCAGAAGGCGTGTTCAGCTCTCAAGGTGTAGGGCCCACTGATCTAAACTTCCATTTCTCAAATGAAGTGTGTGATAGACTATTTACATGTTACTATCTTCTGGAATGACTCTTCCCTTCTCAAATACCGCCAAGTCCTGACTGTCCTTTTACACCTCAGTCTGATTTTCTTCCACTGAACCTGTCCACGCCACATCAAGACCTCAGCCCACCTTCCACCCTCCCGCTGACCCTGTCCACGTCACATCAAGACCTCAGCCCACCTTCCACCCTCCCACTGACCATGTCCATGTCACATCAGCCTAACTACTTGCTTCTTTGTTGTTTTTAAGAAATTTTTGTCTATGAAGTTTGTCTATAATTTTGTCCTGCCTGTTTTGAATTGTTGAATATTAAGAATTTTTTTTTTTTTTTTTTTTTTTGAGACAAGGTTTCTCCATGTAGCTTTGCGCCTTTCCTGGATCTCGCTCTATTATAGACCAGGCTGGCCTCGAACTCACAGAGATCCGCCTGGCTCTGTCTCCCGAGTGCTGGGATTAAAGGCGTGCGCCACCACCGCCCGGCTGAATATTAAGAATTTTATTGTTTAATATCTGTTTGCCTTGTTTCCCATTCAGAGTCTCAGATCTCTGACTGCAGGGTCACATGTTTAATGACTTTGCACTCCTTAGGGCAGGACCCAGTAGATACTTTTCAGATGCCCTGATTTCTAATGAGAGGCAGATTAGCCAGTTGGCGGGCAGAGCTCCTGTGAGGCTTTGTCTTAAGATATTGGTTGAAATGGAAAGAAGCAATCTATCTTTATGTCTTTTAATCTCCACTGGCGCTGTTGAATTATTTTCCTTGCCGGTGCTTTGAGATAGGGACTCGCTCTACAGCTTACTCTCAGCCCCCCTGCCTGTACCTCCTGGGGCTGGGGACATTGAGGGTGTCCCACACCTGGCCTGGATCCCTTTGATGACAGTTAAGATTAATATTGTACATTTTTGGCCTTGTTGGTCTGTGGTGCAGGGCAACTGTTGAGTTGAAGAAGTTTCTCAACAGCGTTTTTCCTACCGTAGATAATGAAACAACCTGCAGTCAAGTTTGATCCAAAAATCTTGCACCTACCGGCATATTCTGGTAAGGTTGTGCGGCTCATCAAACCTTTGTAAACAGATGTAAATATGAACTTTATTTACTTGCAAACAGAATATTTGTGTAAAGAATAACTAATTGCCTATTTTCTTGTCAATGCTTTTGGGCTGCACCCTGTACAGTGGAAGTCACCTGCAAATGTGTCTTTGTCAGCTGTTGACTTTCTTCTGGGCCAACGCCCTCTTGCGGGTGGGAAAGCTCCTGGGGTGCTGGGGGAGAGTCTTCTGCCCCGTGAAATGTCTGTCTTGCATGGTGCTGTGTGAGTGCCAACAGTCAGAAGTTTGGGGCTGTGTTTAAGGGATCAGGACAGTAGGGAGCAGGACTGGGTGGCTGACCCCTGTGGGGGCGTGGCTCACCACAGCCAGTGGGGATGGTGTCTGAGTAGAGACCCTTAAAAGCTGTGGTTTGTTTCCCTTCAGCCTATGAATGTCTTACCTGGAGGGAACCTCAGAAATTTAGGTGTACTTTGGTTTTATCTTTTTAGTGGACTAATTCTCCACCTTGACTCGGGCACTCTGTGATTGGAACCAAATTCACAATGAACAGAATAGATGCAGACTTAAAGAAACCAACTTAAAAGTCTGTACAGGTCAAGCTCGTGGATGCAAACCAAGAGTGAGCCCCAAGGAGGGATGTTTTGAGGGACCAAAGTGAAGCAGCACCAAGTGTGGCCAGAACCAAGGACCTTTGCATGAAAACCCAGGGTATCACTCAGTCCTTCCCCTGAGAGTTAGAGAACATTTGTAATGTTTTTGAAAAAGATTTATTATGTATACAGTATTCTGCCTGCTTGTCAGAAGAGGGCTGCCAGATCTCATTACAGATGGCTGTGAGCCACCACGTGGTTACTGGGAACTGAACTCAGGACCTCTGGAAGAGCAGCCAGTGCTCTTAAACGCTGAGCCATCCCTCCAGCCCCACATTTGTAATTTTATAAATGGAGACCAGCCAGAATCGGTGCATTTAGATGCCGTTCCTGGTTGGTCTTTGGTTTGTGTGCAAACCTGGAGGCTGGAGTCCCAGGTTTTGCCAGCCACCCTGCTGACCTGGGTATGTTTAACAGTAATTTTATTAGACTTCTAAAAATGTGTGTAGATGCGTGTGGACATACGTGTGTGTGTGTGTGTGTGTGTGTGTGTGTGTGTGTGTGTGGTTGCACATGTGCAAGCGTGAACACATATGCCTGAGGATGGCTTCCAGTGCTGTCCTTAGACATGCCGTCCTCCTCTTTTGGGACAGGGTCCTCATTTGGTCTGGAGACCTCCAGTCAAGCTAGACTGGCCCCAGGGAGCCCCAGGGAGCCTCCTGTCTCCACCTCCTGAGTGCCAGGGTCACAACCTCCTGAGTGCCAGGGTCACAACCTCCTGAGTGCCAGGGTCACAACCTCCTGAGTGCCAGGATCTCCACTTCCTGAGTGCCAGGGTCACAACCTCCTGAGTGCCAGGGTCACGTGCACGGCATTTTTAGGTGGACTCTGGCATCATGCTCACGTCCTCATGCTTGCAAGGCCTGCTGTCTCCCTAGCTCTCTACAGCTAAAGATGTTACTACTATTACTGTTATTATTATCACTATTATTGTTTTGGCAGTTCACTGACTTAGTTAAGAAGTCTCTCTGGGATGTCTCCTCAGAGTGGGGCTGGGGTTTGGTGTCTTTTCGGTTGACACTGTCATGTGTTTGATCCCTGTCCCAGCTCTGAAGTTCTGTGTTCTTCTGCTTCTCACACAGTGTCTGCTCAGCCCTTTCTATGTTACTCACGCTCCCTCTGCTCCTTCCTTCCACAGTGGATAAGTTGCTGATTTTGAAGGACCAAGACTGGAATGATTTCCTGCAGCAAGTGTGCTCCCAGATCGACTCCAGTGAGAAGAGCACAGGGGTGTCGCGGGCCAAGCTGAACCTCCTGTGCTATCTGTGTGTGGTGGCTACTCACAAGGAGGTGGCCACCAGGCTGCTCCACTCCCCACTGGTAGGTACTGCAGGGTAAAGTGCCTCCCAGGGACCCGCCACCTGCCTCCTGCTGGTGACTTCTGTATTTTTTTTTTTTTTTCGAGACAGGGTTTCTCTGTGTAGTTTTGGTACCTGTCCTGGATCTTGCTCTGTAGACCAGGCTGGCCTCGAACTCATAGAGATCTGCCTCCCAAGTGCTGGGGTTAAAGGTGTGTGCCACCACTGCCCAACCGGCTTTTGTATTTTGAAGACACTAGTACAAGAGCTTGGGGCCTGAGGTTCAGCTCAGTAGTAGAGTGGTTCCTTCGCCTGACCACAGCATGGGGTACTGCCTTCTGGCACTGAGACAATGAAAACAGTAAACCATGGACTAAACAGTTTATTTATTTATTCATTCATCTGTTTGTCTCTCTATCTATTTGTCTGTCTATCTATCATATCTATCTATCTATCTGTCTATTTGTCTGTCTGTCTATCTATCTATATTTTTGTAGTGTTACTAGGGATTGAACCTAGGGCCTTACACAGGCTAGGCAAGTGCTCTACCACTGAGCCACACCCTAGCCTCGTTTCTATTTTGAGCTACTGTTTAAGTTTCCCATGCTTGCATTGAATTCATTCTGTAGCCTAGTCAGGTCTCAAACGTATGTTCCTCCTGCCTCAACTTCCCAAGTAGCTGGGATTATCGGCCTGTGTCACAAGGTCCAGTTGGTTACAATTATAATTTGATTTAATTACAAAAAAAGGTGATTTATTGATATCGTAGATTCATGAAAATTACCCTCAACTCCTTCCTTGAAGCAGTTGTGTAGATGGTGATTTCGAACTGTGGCTTTGTAATATTCCACCTGCCATTTTTGTTCCTTGTTGATTGGGAGCCATTGCACCTGTCTGTAACCAAGAGACAGACCTTCATGCTGCTGTGGGTCACCTGGACAGACAACAGAGTTTCTGATGTATGAAAGGACATAAAACCTCAGAGTCTTCACTTCCTGTTTTCCTGGGAGATTTATTCTTTGGTGGGCCTCATTGGTAACCCCTGGGGATTTGCAGAGTTCCTCAAACCATCCTCTGGGAGGAATGACAGTGACTGGGTGGTGTTTTCTACTGGGCTCCCAAGTTGGCTGAGGAAGTTTCAGTTTATTTTGCTCCTAAGTCCGTATGTGGGTGTCTCTTGGGGGTGGGGAGTCAAATATTAGGGAGTAGTAGGACAAATCAAACATCTTGTTCTTATTTTTTTTTAAGATTGGTTTTTTTTTTTAATTATGTTTGTGTGCGTGTGCATGTGCATGTGTGCGTGTGCGTGTGTGCGCGCGCTTGCGCGCGCGCGCGCCAGATGCTCTTGGAGGCCAGAAGAAGTTGTCAGATTCCCTGGAGCTGAAGTTACAGGTGCTTGTAAGACACTGTGGGTGCTGGGAATTGAACCTGGCTTCTCTGTAAGCGCACATGCTCTTAACTGCTGAGCCATCTCTCCAGTGCCCTGCTATTTATTTTTGTTTGTCTTGTTTGCACGTCTGTCATCTGTCAGATCTCATCTCAGCCATATAAACTCCCTGTTAATTCAGACGTTGCTTTGGATGGATGCCCTGATGAATAAAACTTACATTTTGATGTTTTTCTTTTTTAAATTCTAGTTCCAGTTGCTAATCCAGCATTTGCGAATAGCTCCAAACTGGGATATGTAAGTAACATTCGTATTTTAAAAGACATTCTTGGTGGTCTTATAGCTATTGCCAGACACCCCAGCATGAGCACAGTCCTCAGTCATCCTATGGGAACTTGAGGCGGCCACACGTCCCTCACAGAGCATAGAGAGATGTGAAAGTGGTTCCTGCCTTGTTTTCCCAGTCCCGAGTGGCGCACTCTGCTCTGTAGGCCGTCACTTTCCTGAGTGACCTTCCGGGCTATGCTGCCTCTGTCCCCTGTGCCTTTCCTTCCCCGGGGCAGGAGCTTCCCCATGGTGTCATGGAAATCAACGGGGCTGTCGTAGGGTGCTCACTGTCTAGGGATGCTGCAGACTCCGGCTCTCCTTGCTGGTTGGGACTTGATTACATGATGGAACCATTTCCTGAGTCTTCACTTTCGGGGGAGTTTACGTGGAATACAGAAGTGTAGGGTTGAGACCCCAGATCTGCCCCCTGTGCAGGTCACATTCCCTGCTGAGCCACAGTGTCCTCATCCGCAAGTGGGGGTTGTGTTACCTACTCAGTAGGTCACTGGAGTAAGGCCTGGTTCTGAGTCTGCTCCATGTTATCTGGTCACTGTCACCTTGGAGACTCTCATAAAGGAATGCATGGTTGCTGTGGCTGGCAGAGGTGTGACAATAGTTACTCCTCCATGCTGATGAAATACGAGGGCAAGCACGGGAGTTTGCAAAAAGCTTTGGAGGGAAATGTTTCTGGCATCTCAGCTGCTGTTCTCTGGGATGCTGGGTAACAGCTGAGCGTTTTTTTTTTTGCAGATGTTTTTTTTTTCTGGTCTGGAGCTCCCCCTGCTGACTTGAAAGTGGTTCTATTCTTTTCAAGCACTGTTTAAAAACCTTTTCACTATTTAAATTGAACTTAATTTGTTAAAAAAAAAAGTGTGTTTCAATTTTTTAAAAAAAAAAATTTTTTATGAGGAAGGGTCTTACTGTGTAGCCCAGGCTGACCTTGAACTCTTAGCTTGATGCCTTCTGAGTGCTGGGGTTAGAGGTGTGTGCCACTGTGACCGTCAGGGGAGGCTTTGGATGAAGCGGTGGATGGACAGAGGGCTCTCTACGGCCCTCTTACTTTCTTTCACATGCTGCTTTCAACTTTCCCATTTCCCTCATTTTCCCAAGTTTGTCCTACATACAGGAACACAAGTTTAGTAAGGCGTGTTGTGATTTTATCTGTCTGTTCTCCCCACAACACACGTGTTTTGAATATTATTGACGACTTGAGACCATTTCCCATCTTCTTGCTTCTGCCCCGCCACAGCACTGGGGTACAGGTGTACATATCACCGAGTCTGGCTTTTTACATGGGTGCTGGGGATTTGAACTCAGGTCCTCAAGCTTGCGCAGCATGTGCCCTGACCCACTGAGCTGTCCTCCCCAGTCCCGATCCTGTGTTTAAAGGCTGCTTGCTTCTCAAATACCTGGTGATATTTGGTTCCTAGTTTATGTCATGCGTAAATGATGAGGTTAGTGATTCACTTGTCTCTTCCTCTTATCTGAGTCTGGCCCTCATTCCACAGGCTCTCCTTTGTAGGGGTGGGAGGTGGGTGCCCGGGTGGGGTTTGCTGTCTCTCACAGGCTCACTGAAAGTCCACTTGGCTGAAGGCAGCAAGCCAAGGCCCTCCAGTGGCTTGGTTGGGGTTTCCTCTGGAGCTGGCTCTCTCCTTTGTCAGTTTTCTGTTGCTGTGTGACGACACTGTGACCAAGGCGACTTACCGAAGAGGGAGTTTATGTCACAGGGGTGAGAGTCTATGACCATCGTGGCAAGGATCATGGCACCAAACAGGCAGGTGTGGCAGCAGGAACAGCTGAGAGCTCACATCTTGATCTGCAGTTTGGAGGCAGAGAATACTCACTGGGAGTGGCCTGGACTTTTGAAACCTCAAAGCTCACCCCCAGTGACACACAGCTCCTCCAGTAAGGCCACACCACCTAATCCTTCCTGAACAGTTCCACCAACTAGGGACCAAGTATTCTAACAAAAGCCTGTGGGGGCCGTTCTCATTCAAATCACTGCAGGCCCCTTCCCAGCCCCAGTATAGGGAATGGCAGACATGGCTCCACACATCTGCCCCTGTGTCCTCCGCAGCACGGATCACTTGCTGTGGGGATGTCTCCTGTCTTCCCTGAAGGCCTGCTCTTCCCAGTGGCTCCTAGGAGGGTTTTTTTTGTTTTGTTTTGTTTTTTGTTTTTTTTTTTCTCATCATGCTCTGTCCGCTCCATCTCTCTGAGTCACATAGGGTTCTGCTCCACTTCCAGCCTTTCTTTTGATTTACGGTTATCACACAGGTAAATGAATCTTTCTTTCATCTCAGCAGACTCCTGAGGGGCCTGTGTTTAGTCAGCTTTCATCAAGGAGAGGGGATTTCTTGTACGTTTTTTTCATGTATGGGACTTACTTGGTTGTGGTTTAAAGATTTTGGTATTTGTTGTATGAGACACACAGAAGCAGCCAGGCATGGTGGCACTCGCCTGCAATCCTCAGGAAGCTGAGGTAGGAGAATCAGGAGTTCAAGGCCATCCTGAGAGCCATGTAATGAGATCCCCATCTCAAAGAACCAGCAAGAGTTGAGGCTTGTCGGGGCAGGTCTGCTGCGGGAGGTGATCACATGTCGCCCTGGCCACCCTTCTGAGTCTAACTTGTTTCCTGAAGTGAGTCTTGCAGAGCTTTTTCTAAGAAACCAAGAAAGTGTGAGAGCGTGGATTTTAACTCTTCACCATGTTAGTTTTCAATAAGAAAAAGGTTTTAAACGTTTGAATCTCTCCCAATTTCATCCATATGCAGTGCACTTTGACCATATTCCCGCCACCATCCTTCCTCAACCCCTGCTTCCCACCAAACCTCTTTCCCCATTCTTCTTCCGGGACGTTTTTCCCCCCAGTGAAAAAAAAATTTTTAATCAACATGACTTTTCTACATTGCTTTTTTCAGGTCACTCTGAAGCATTGCTTAGTACTTTATCAATGTCCTTTTCTGCGGGATACCAGAAGCCCGCTCATGAAAACCAGTGTTTATTAAAGTAAAGAATAGAAGCTGGTGGGGGACTAGGGGATGGAACTCTCTGCAGCTCCAGGTCCAGGGGATCGGACGCCCCCTGCTGGCCACCATGGGCACTGTATGCACATGGTACACATGTACATGCAGGCGAAACACAAATACATATAAAATAAAAATAAAGGGGAAAGTTAAGCAAAATAGAAGAGCATTCATAGACTTCTAATGGTAAGGTTTTCTATCTATACGTTTTATAAGCCACAAACTGTCTAAACTTGGACACTGATTCATGTTCCCTGTGCGTGTGGTAAGGAGTGTCCCTGGAACGTGGGCCTGCACTGTCTAATGTGTGTCTTTGAGCGGGGTGTGCCTACTCCAGTGCACATGTGGAGGCCAGAGGATAGCCCTCAGGAGTTGGTTCTCCCTTCTGCCACGTGGGTTCCAGACTGCACTCAGGTTGTCAGACTTGGTGGCTAGCGGTGGTGTTGGATGCTTGGCTGCACCTCAGAGCCTGTGTTCTCTCTCCCCAGACGGTCCAAGGTTGCTCGCGTCATCGGCTTGCTGGCCTCACACACAACAGAACTTCAGGAAAATGTGCCCGTTATCGAGGTGATGTTTTTCATTACTGACATGTTTTGTGTGGCAGAACAGATTGCTTTTGGTTTTGTAGGTTAGAGCACACAGCTTTCATTGTCCTTTCTTTCTTTCTTTTTTTTTAAAATTTTTCAAGACAGGGTTTCTCGTGTAGCTTTAGTACCTGCCCTGAATCTCACTCTGTAGCCCAGGCTGTCCTCGAACTCAGAGATTCGCCTGGCTCTGCCTCCCAAGTGCTGGGATTAAAGGCGTGTGCCACCACCACCTGGCTTGTTGTCCTTCATTTAATTTTAATTTGAGGCATTGTGGTTGTTGTAAGACACAGACCTTGGGGCCCTCCCAGCCCTGGGCTCTAACTCACAGTTCAGGCTTATATAGAATTTGGCCTCTCATTGGAGGCTGCAGAGGCATGGGCTGGTTTAGATCACAGCTCACATTTAAGTCAGTTTCTTCTGGGTTTTCACCATGAATTTAATATTTTCCCCCTTGTCCCAGGACAGCTGTCCTCTGACAGGTGGGCCCAGTGTTTGAAGGTCCTTCATGTACTGAAACATTTTCTGGAACCAGTGTTGCTCACCCCCGCCTTCCTTAGTGCTGGGGATCTCACTGAGGGCCCACACTTGCTGGACAAGCGCTGGGTTAGAAAGGGGTTTGGCAGGTGAGGTGGTGAACGCCCTTAACCCTAGTAGAGGCACACCTGGTCTACATAGGTGTCCCAGCTCAGCCAAGGCTGCACAGTCAGACCCTGTCTCAAACAACTGAGTAAGGAAAAAAGAAAGGGTTTTACGTAGTTCCCCAGAGACTGCAGGCCTGCACGGAGAGTGTGACCACTGTGTATCTGCGCCAGCTCTGGGAGAGCTGACAGCTCCCTTCCGTCTCTCCTGCTAACTGACAAAGGTCTTTATCCTTAAGAGTCAAGTAGCTGAACATCACCATGGTCTTCAGGGCTAAAAACGGGAACTTGGGGATGGTGGAACATTTGTAGGGCTGGAGCTGGGATGTGGTGTTGGAGCTGTAGGAGGATCATTTAGTCAAGAGGACTTCCTGCAGTGATGGCTTACCTGGTGAGAGGCTGAGGGACATGAGGGAAGGAACGTTCCTCACAGGGTGAACCAGAGGTGAAGCTGTCACCATGCCTCAAGAACCAGGATTTGAGCGTAGGTAAAACTGGCTGTGGGGACTGGTGGGAGGCAAAGCCAGTGAGTGTCCAAGGCCACACGGTAGAGACTTGTGGGGTCTGACGGGCTCAGGATTTGATTCAGAGTGAGAGGGGGGGATCCTAGGGGGTGCATGAATTCCTGGGCGTGGCTTCTGTCGATGTAATCCCTCTGTTAAAATGATGGTGACGCCTCTGTCAGAGGGTAGGGACGTTGGTGAGCTGCATCATGTTAGCATTGGTGAAGCTGGTGGTCCAGGTTGGGTAGAATGCGTAAACGCTGAGAAGAAGGTGTTAGACTGGCTTGCATGTAACTGGCTGGGCCACCTCAGAGTGGCTGTGCACACTCTGTGTGTCAGGCCTCCTCAGAGTGGCTGGCTGCACTCTGGAGAAGCTAAGAACCTGGCAGTTTCTTGTGCACTAGACTGAAGGCCTCAGCAGTCTTCGTCTGGTGCTGAAGGCCTGGAAGATTCCTGGAGAGATGGAAGCCAAAGAAACTGGAGTCTGATGTCAGCCCGGGACGGCGACAGCAGCGGTAGGGTAGATGAATCAGTACGATGTGGAGGCAGGCAGGCAAAAAGCAAAGGCTTTTCTGAGGACCTCCTCATGTCTGGGCTGTCTGGGGGAGGTGGTGTGCTTAGGGTGTGTCTTCCTACAGTTAACCTAACTGAGAAAGCCCTTACAGGTCTGCCCAGAGGCTTGTCTCAGTTGATTCCAGCTCCAGTTAAGTTGACAGCCATCACACCTACCTAGACGCACATACATAGGCTTATTTCTCGGTTATTCTTTGATGGCTGTTGACAGATTTGCTAATCACTATGATAACATCTGAAAGCAGAAGAAGCCACAGTATCAATTCTGTGTCTAATATTCATAATGCTGCATCATCGTCATAGACCTGCAAATGAAAGCCAGAACGACATGTCAGGTAGTCACCATGTCCAAACTCCATACAGTCATAAATGTTGGAAGGGGTTGGGGAACAATGACTTTGACAGGCTGCTGGTGGGAATGTAGATGGGCACGGCCATCCTGGAAAACCCGCTGTGTCTCCAGAGCCAAAGACATCTTTCCCTGCTGTCCAGTGTCTTGTTATCCCGTGGCTCTGTGTCCTGCATGGCACGTGGAGGGACGTGTTCTGTGGTGGTCTCTGTACCAGCCCCACATCTAGCAGAACGGACAGAGTGTGGCATGGCCACTCCACATGGCCACCCCACAAGGCACCATCAGCACTGGCAATAACGAACTGCAGCCCTGGGCTGGAGTGAAGCTCATGGTTGACGCTCATCATGGATATGAGTGGGACATACCGTGAAATGACCCATCTGGGAATTGGGAAACGTCCAGGGACTGTGGCTGCTTGTGTCCACAGGGCCGGCTCCCCTGGGTTCCATCAGGGAGCTCAGCTGTTCACATGCTTGCGTGAATCCTGGCGCTCTTCTATGGGGAAGGCCCTCCTCTTTGACAGAGAACATGGCTTCAGGAGGGACACACACAGGCCACAAGGGAGGAAGGAGACACCCACCTCTCCAGCCAGGTCAGCTAATCAACCCTGGCCATCAGTGAGGTGACAGATACCACAGCCAGGTCTCTCACATCCCTGGATCCCTTTAGATGTCTGCAGGTAGATGTCACCGAAGGAATCTGAAGACGAGGGCTGCCTTATGGCGTGATGAGGGAAGCTAGGCCAGAGGTCAGCCCTGAAGCTGAGAGGCTTCCTCTGTTCCCATGGAGTCTCGTGCTAAGGACCTGTGTCATTGGCTGAAGGAATTCCCTGGGGTCTGTGTAGAGGATATCCTCAGTTACCTGGGACCTGCAGTCACCCCAGGTGATGGGCTTGCCTCTCTCCTGCCTCCATACCTATGGCTGGTCCTGGTGCTTGCTCTTGCCGTTGTCCGTGGAGAGCACGTGGCCATCAGTTCCTGGGTCAGGCTGTGGCCAGGCTGCCTCAGGTCACCTCCCCGAGGTTCATTTTCCTTCCCCTGCAGTTTCCCTTCCTGGCTGCTGCTCTTGTTTTATTAGGTTGAGATGTAGGGGCATGGGAAACACTGTTCTTGTTTTTTTTTTTTTCTCACTTCGTGTTATACAATTTTCCCCATGGTTTTATTTTACTTTTGTGTGTAGTGTGTGAATTTGTTCGTATCCATTTAGGTACACATGTACCCGTGAAGGCCAGGGGTTGATGTCAGGGGTCTTCCACTGTCACACTCTCCACCTTGTCTTTCAGGCAGGGTCTCTCACCAACTGTCTGGACCAGCTGGCCAGTAGCCTGGGGATTTGTACTTGTACAAGCCTGTCTTTGTACCCCAGTACTAGGGCCACAGATATGCATGATATGTTTAACTTTTATGTCGGTGCTGCAGGTCTGAACTCAGGTCCACATACTGAGTCTTCTCACCAGCTCCCATATTCACAACTTTAATAGAATATTCTATTTGAATAAAATATTATATTCAGTTCCAAATGTGTTATCGGTTAAGGTAAGCACTCTCTGGTCACTGTGACACAGCTGTTCCCAGTTGTCAGAGACAACCCCACACCCTGGAAAGGTCAGGTGCCAGCCGCCAGCCAGTCAGCAAACTCAGGGTCCCTGACCTGGTGTGTGTACTGCAAGATGAAAATCTGTGTTCTGCAAATCATCCATCCCTAGGGGGAGACAGATTTTGGCCATCTGGCTATACCCCTGAACTCCACAGAAAGAAGTAGTGTATGTTTAGCTGTTAGGTAGACTATTTTGAAGTAAACACACATATAATGAACTAAATTTTGTTGAATAATGGGGACTTTACACACAGTATGTTGAAATAGCTCTAGGTAGACCTTTCTGGTACCATATTTGTGTGTGTGTGTGTGTGTGTGTGTGTGTGTGTGTGTGTGTGTGTGTGTGTGTTATTTCTTTCCCCCAGACAGGGTTTCTCTGTGTAACAGCCCTGGCCGACCTAGAACTTACTCTGTAGACCAGGCTGGCCTCAAGCTCACAGAGATCCGCCTGCCTCTGCCTCCTGAGTGCTGGGATTAAAGGTGTGCGCCACCACACCCCACTGTATCTACATTTTAAATTTTTTCTTTTATGCACTTTAAAATACTTTTGTTCTAAGTAGTTGGCTGTGTCAATTTCAGCAGCCGCTAGGGGGCAGTCAAGCACTGAGGAAGATGTGGCAGTTTGTCTTTAATCTGGAAGTCTCTGGCTCTGGAGGGTTAGCAGGTACAGGTACTGGTTACATCTTACAGTGTTTAGAAGTTTCTGCTCAGTATCTGGCAGTTGCGTCGGTCAGTTTCTGTTTGAAAGTTACCAAGATCAATGTAATCCTTGGCAGCCTTTCTAGAAGAAGGCAGACTTGGCTGCCTATGTGTGATTTCCAGGGGTGCCAATGGTGGGCCTCTGGTTCAGAGCTCTGATCCAGTCTCTGTGAAACTCTCTCTGACCTGCTCGGCTTCCTCCTACCTCATTGTGTCTGCAGGAGGGTGCTGGCCAAGTCTAGGCATTCTTCTTTGGCTCTTTTATCGAATTCCCTCGGAAGAATACAGCTGTTTACCGTGCTGACCAGTCTGGAGCCCTCCCTTGTGGTTCTTGTGAAAAGGATGAGCCCTGGTGTGTGGTCCATGTGTTTAGTCTCAGCAAGGCAGTGGATGCATTAAGGTGCTGAACACGTGACTGTGAGCCCTGGAACTGATGGCGCAGGTTAACCCTTTCATGGATGGTTTCTTACTCTGGAAAATTTCAAAACAAAAGTGGCGTGGGTAGACTGAGGCAGCTCACTCGGTAGCTGTTGACACCTGGCCGTGCTTTTTCCTCTGTCTCCTGCTTCTTCCCCCTCCCTTTTCATTCGTATCCCTCTTTCTTGCTGGGACATTTTAA